GGGAGAGGGAGAGGGAGAGGGAGAGAGGAGAGGGAGAGAGGAGAGGGAGAGAGGAGAGGGAGAGAGGAGAGACTTCTGAACTACTGACCTTGTTCTCGGGGCACATGTGTTACAGTGAAGGGCATAGCCAGTACGTAAGCAGGAATATTTAATATGTGTGGTATCATTATGTCTTGGTTCACTGGCCGCCTGGAGGTATTCTTCACGTCTCTCTCAAAGGAACTATTTCAGTGAAATGAGATTTTAATACAAGGAATCCATGCAGAGTACAGTTGCACACCCAAGATGTTCTGCCTTCCCCAGTGATGCTGGCCTGGGAACACAATCCTATTTGAAAATACAATGTTATATTCGAATGTAATTTGCCAGGGTGAACTAATTCCTTCCCATGATCCACCAAACACAGGCGTTTTAGGAAGCTGCCCTTTGCAGGACGCTTTTCTCTCCTCGGGAGAGTCCTGTTCTTTGTTTTGTTTCTCTCCCTCAGCTGTTACACTGTAACAGCTTAGTAATGACTTGGGCTCCAAAGGTGAATTGTTCTGGAACATTCAGCGTTAGTAGTTCAGCCGTGTTCAGGGCAGCTCACTCCAGCCTCTTCTTCGACTCCTGTGCTGCCTTTGGATGTAGTAGTGTTCATGGATTTTAACACAGTGCTTCTGTGGAAACTGACTTCACTTGTTTGACAATGGTGCCACCCTGAAAGGGAGGCAGACACCAGGGTGATTTCCAGTTTCTTCCTGTTCTGACTGAGGGCCAAGACTAGAACTTCTTGGCTGTAAAGGGCTAGACTCCTTGTTAAAGTAACACAGTGCACTGTGTAGCTGCCCTTGAAGTAGCTCACAGTCCTTTTTTTAAAAAAAAAAAAATGTATTGATTATGTATACAGTGTTCTGTTTGCACGTATCCCTGCAGACCAGAAGAGGGCACCAGATCTCATTACAGATGGTTGTGAGCTACCATGTGGGTGCTGGGAATTGAACTCAGGACCTCTGGAAGAACAACAGCCAGTGCTCTTAACCTCTGAGCCATCTCTCCAGCCCTCGGCAGTCCTTATAGACAGTATCTAAACTAATGCTTACATCCTGGCTTTGGAGGGAAGCCCGAGAGTCACACAGCATCTAGATGTTTACAAAGCACCCACTCTTCTCCCCAGAAGCCTCTCAAAGACCAAGAGATCTATGATGCTTCATTCAATTTCTGTGTCTCCAGAACTGCCTATCCTAAACCAAGTCAAAGTGTGTGTGTGTGTGTGTGTGTGTGTGTGTGTGTGTGTGTGTGTGTGTGTATTGGGGGTCATTGCATGAAGAACCTTGTGCCTCTGAGGAGCAGGTCCTGGGTGATCACTCTGGAGTCATGCCCCCATCTTTTCTGCCCTGGGGTTCCTCTATATTGATACAGTGTTGCTCCAGTGTGGTTTCTGGTCAGGTTTCTGAATCAGTAACTTTTAGAGGAAAATAGTCAAAATTCAGAGGGTTCATAGGAGGAATTTTGAGCAAGAAGTCAGAGAGAGAGAGAGAGAGAGAGAGAGAGAGAGAGAGAGAGAGAGAGAGAGAACGAACTACAGCCTGGTGGATCCCAGGCTAGGTGCCCTCTGCCAGTAAGTAGAGGCCGAGATGCCCTCATCAGAGTCGGGCCCAATGCGGTGTGTCACCCCTTGAGAACCCCTGGGCTGGTGAAGGGCTCAGCATCTCAGGTACCACAGGCTGTTACAGTATGGGGGAAACTTTGAGACCAAGTTAGTTAACATTCGAGGATCTCAAACTATCAGATCCAAAAGACCTCAGCAAACCCAGCTCCTTCTCAGACTCATTATCTACCCTGAGACTGAGTAGTTAACCTTGCCAGTGTTTCCTTATCTTCAGAGAATGAGTAATCTTTTCTTCCAGTCTATAGTGTGTGCCTGAGGGGAAGATCCCCATGGGAGTCTTACATGACTGTGAAGGGTTATTGGTATTCATATAGCAAGCTGAATTAATGAGGAAAAAAAGTAAATAGGGTTTTGTTTTGTTTTGTTTTTAATGGATTGAGTGGTGGGACTAAGTAGGAAAGACAGAGAGAGCATGGAACCCCAAATACTTCCGTCACAACCTGTTAGAATATGAGAGTCTGATAGTGCCATTACTCTACTCCATGTTTTGGAGCAATGTTGTGGGATACCACTTTAACTAGGCAAATGTTTGTTTATGCTGCAGAAAATTACTTTAACTGTATAAACATGTGTTACTTTTATTCACATATTACTTTTATGCTGCACTTGTTTAACTATGTAAAGATGTGTTCCATTTGTTTCACCTGGCCTGCCTAAGGCACCTGATTGGTCTAATAAAGAGCTGAACGGCCAATAGCTAGGCAGAAGAGGGATAGGCAAGGTTGGCAGGCAGAGAATAAATAGGAGGAGAAATCTAGGCTCAAGAGGAGGAATGAGAGAAGAGGAGGGAGGAGAGAAAGAAGAAGATGCCCAGGGCAGGAAGCCAGGTAGTCACCAGCCAGCAGACACAAGAAGCAGTGTAAGTGAGATATACAGAAGTAAGGGAGGTAATGAGCCCAAGGCAAAAGGCAGATAAAGAGAAACAGGTTAAGTTAAAAGAGCTAGCCAGAAATGAGTCGAAGCTAGGCCGGGCATTCAAAATTAATAAGAAGTCTCTGGTCATGATTTGGGAGATGGTTCGTGGTCCAAAAGAAAAAGTCTGGTACAGAATAAGGCAAAGGAGGCTCTGGTTCTGAGTGCAGAAGCCTTGGGCTAGATTCTGTATATCATGGGTTCCTGGGAGAAGCTGGGGTGGGGAGCAGGGCAGTGTGACAGGGTAGAAGGAGAGAGGTAAACCCCATTTAGAGACAGTTACCAACCTGCTCCCAGAAGCTGCCTTCTCAGACAGCAGGGCTGGCTTCTCCTTCCAGACGCCGTGCTGAGGCTGAAGTGCCTTCCTCCTCCTCTTCATTATTTGTGATGTTTGTAGCTTGGATGCAGTTGTTGATGTTTTTTTAAAAGTTAACCGTTGTTTTTCTTGCCTGTATACAAAATTTTCTTCCTTTGATGCATATTCATTTATTACAACCAGAGTCCTGAGCTCTGCCCAGAATAAAATCGCCCTAAGACTTGGGGAGACAAATCAATGTCTAGTAAGATTGGCTTCTCCGTGCCCCTCCCCACCCATGTTTCTCAGTGTGAATTCTGGTGTCTTTGGAATCTCTGTCCTGTGGCACATACTGAAATTCCAGATATCCCCATTGGTTTCCTATTACACACAAGCACATATGAACTCTTTGGAAGGTTCTAGAGACAGGTAGAGTATAATCAGAACCATCGAACATGCAAGGGAATTGGGTCTGTATATTTTGAAGGACTTTGTCAAACTTACAAAACTGGTAAATGAAGTGAGGACCTGAAGTGTAGGAGTTTGTCTCCGTCATGGCTCTCTCTCTCTCTCTCTCTCTCTCTCTCTCTCTCTCTCTCTCTCTCTCTGTATCATATGATATTAGGAGGTGGCACCACTGAAAACATAGGCATCTGGGGACAGCCTCACTGCGACTTTGGACTTGTGAACACTCTCTGCCTCTGTTCTCCCATTTCTCTGCTTCAGTTCCTCTCACACACGCACTGTGTAAAATGCCTCTAACAGGATATAACACATATTAAATAAACACTTGGTGATTTGGGGCATTTCATTATATTCTTAATTTTTTCTTCCACTTAAATGTCTTTTGTTTTATAATGTAAACAGTTATTATATCTTATTTAACCTACTTAACTTTATTAAAACATTGATTGTACTATTTGAAGCGATAATGAACTCAGATGGATCAAAAACCCTAAACTGCATTCGGAGTCTGGGAAGCCTCTGTGGGCTGCCCTGCTTGCAGAGCCCGTTGCCGTCCTCAGGGCAGCTGCACCTCACCCTGCTGCTGGGAGCGCAGGCTGGCCTGAGTTTCAGTGCGTCTCAGCCATTCAGCCTGAACGCTGCTGCTGCATGCTGCTGCTAGACACCCAGACCCTGGACATTTCACTGCAGGGAGGATTTCAAAACCTCCGCTGCTCTCTCCATGCCAGGGCTCCTCCCACCCTGGTGTCCTGCCAGCCAGCAGTTTCCCCCTGGGCCCCGCACCACCTCTGCCACGGTTCTGCCCTTGGGGGATGCTGCCTGGCCTCTGCAAGGACCCCGGTGTCCCCGGAACCCACTCAAACTGAGAGGTGCCTGTTCCCTGGCCCTCCTGGTATGCGTTCTATGGGCATCTTTCTCTGGGGGCTTTGTCTCTCTCACAGCACCCTGCTTTATGTTTAAAATTTTACTCCCGAAGAATAGAATACCACTGCCTCAAGTTAATTCATTAATTCATTACCGGGCATGCCCCCCACCCCCACCCCGCCTCACGGTGCCCCCTCTCTCTCTTATCCTTTGTACCAAAGCCCCACATCCTGGTGCCATCTGTGGGAGGCCAGCTCCCACCTTTTGTAGGGCTCTTATGAAAGAGGGATAAGAAAATATTAGATAAAGAGACCTGGAAGACAAGA